AAACTAAAAGCATTGTATCAATCGAATAATACGTCACACAGAAGTTAGCTAAGTCTCATGTTAAAGCATCAAGTCCACTCTGCAAAATAGGCTATATTCCAAGTTTCAAAGGTGCCTGGTAGAGTTCATTCGTACTAAGATAATAGTGCGGTGAAGTAATAAACTTTACTAATCTATTTTCAATCTTACTAAAATGAACTATCTCGATAAAATTAATATACCATGTTGTTCAGTTTTTAATGCTCTTTCGAATTATGTACCTAAAAGTTGAAAATTAAAACAAAATTTTTCTATATTTATTAATTAATATTGATTAAATATAATTAATATTAATTAATCAGAACTAATAATATTCACAATTACTTATTACTAAAATATAGCCCATTCAATTCTGCATCGAATAGCACCAAAAAAGAGTTTTTGATAATTCTTTAAAAGCAAAAAATAAATAAAATATTTAAAAATTTAAAAAGTGCTCTAAATTTTTGTCCGTTGGGGAAAAAGTAGTTTTTGTCATTAATATTGGAGTAATATGCCTTATAGAATTTTGACTTCATAGACTTGCAGCTCGTTTCGAGAGCTATCGAAATCATTATTTAGTTCTCCTCCGCAAGCTATCCTTCATAGAAAAAAATCATGAATTAAAAAGTGCTCTAAAATGTTGTCCGCCACTTTACGCATGTCACCTTTTCTTTTTCATCAGTATCCCTCCTCCTCTTTTTCGCCAGTATCGCTCCTCCTCTTTTTCGCCAGTATCCCTCCTCCTCTTTTTTCCTCTCTTTCGCTTTGTCTCTCTCCTTCTCTGTTGCGTCACGGTTGATTGAATCGCGCGGAAAAGAAATATAAAAGGAACGGATATATTTAACTAAAGTTAGTTGAGTACACGACAAGATAAGAGCTGAAGTAATAAAAACACAAAACAAGCAACTTCTTTGTTTTTTCTCTCTTATTTCACTATTTTGTAGTGGTTTCTACGCAGCAATGTTCGTCGATAGAATACATGTCCAAGAGAGATTAAATGATTCATTATCAAGAAACAAACAAGATTAAATAAAATTTCAAGCACTTATATTATGAGTTAATGACTTTATTACTTCTAAATAAACTAGTGGACAATAAAAATGAATCCAAAATTGAAATGTAACTTCGTTACTTGCAATAAAAATATAGAAATATTTCACTGTACATAATATGCAAATAAAAGATATTTACATTATAAAGATTACGACTATTGATGCCATCTTTCGTTCGGTAAAATCGCTGGTTCTAGCAATTTACTCTTTTTTGTTCTAACTTCTGATAATTTCTTCTATTAATTTAGTTTCGTCTATCGTGAAAACATGGATTTAATCCTTAAAACAAAAGACAATTTTTATAGGTTAAAGTATATTTGACTCCTTTGGCCTTATCTGCACTAAAAAAGTTAATGCTGAATTCAGAAAACTGGTTGATCAAAAAGTTAATTCATAATTAATACACTTTTCAGAGACAAATTAAATTTAATGTACCAATCGAGAAAGAACTTAATTCACTAATTAAAATGATGAATGTGCTTCGATAAACTCGCTTTATATCATTGATAGATAGATATTTTCAATACGATGAACTAGAGAATATAAATGAATAGGAACTGAAACAGAAGGTGTGGGTTTGAATTCCACAACTGTCATCTTTTTCTTCGTTCGGTCACATAGCAATAGTCACAATGCTTGTCTTATAACTCTATATATATAGAAGATAATATAACCATGTGAGACATTGTCCTATTTATCTTATGCTCCCTTCTCAATCTTAGGACCCCGGTGCAGCCTCTGAATATCGATCATGAAAACTAATTGATATATGTAAACTCGTGCACATAACAATAGCTACTGCCTTGTGTTAAATGTAAATCTTATAGAAAATTTTTCCAACTCTAAATATATTTCATTGAAATCTTGCAAATTAAAACATTTTTTTTTTATAAATTTTGAGAATAGATACTTGACATGATCAGTCTGTCTGAATATTGATCTAAAAAGCAAATAAAACGTGCCTCTTTCAAGAATATTTCTGTAATTCGTTAAGTCTCATGTCATGACAAGAAATGAGTCAGTCTTCTTTCTAGAAGCACTAGTGAAAAAATATCCTTTTTTTTTTTTTCTAGATCGTTTATATTTGAAAAGTATTAATTCAACTTTCTTCGAACTGTGGTCATTCGTAACAAAAATGCATTATTTGGTGGAGTCAAAGCTAGAAATTTGGACACAATTAATAAAACATTTATTTATGAATTCTATAAATTAATATTAAACTATCCATACCAATTGTTATTTTGTGGACAAATTTTATGTAAATGATGCGTGAAAAAAAAAGAGTTGTCCAATAAGTAATCATTTAACTTTAAGTTTAACTCTACTATTAAATATTTGTATTTAAAGAGCCATTTGTTTGCCAATATTGCAATATGACACAAGAAAAAAAAGAAGTTATGTAGTTTGTTGATTGTCGAATCTTATATCTATGGACTGGAGCTTTGAATGATTATTTAGTATTTTATCTGAAACACATATATGAAAATAATACTGAAATAATTTTATTCCAGAATTGTTTACAAGAATTCCATGCAGATTTAGAATGTACTGTTTGTCGTCAACATTCTTTTTTTTTGTAATAAATTCATTTGAAGAACATAGACAAGAACTATGTATTCATCGATCTATACTATATGGATTAACCAATTGTATGAATTCGGTAATAGTCTATTTTTTTTTCTTTTTATCATAGTACATAATTTTCGTTTATAGATAAAATGGTACGAAATGAAAGCACATTGTCTCAATGATCCATATTAACATATATTATTTATCATTATTTTGGAATATATTAAACTATTCGTACAAAAGAAAAAATAAAATGGAAAAATTCTACATTTGATAATTTCAACATGTCTATTAATGAAAATTATATTTGTGTTGTTTTTGTATCTTTATTATTATCAACTACAATAATTGATTAATAATATCACTAAAGAAAAATATTCATATTCTGATCTTTTTCAAAGAATAATATAATTCTAATAAAAACACACTATTTGAATCATTTAAAATGGATAAGAGAATATATTAATAAATTATTTTCAAATAAATCACATTTGAGACAAGAAATTCTTTTAAGTACTGATATTGTATTAATGTTGTGATATTTCATTAATATTAGTGGTGCAATAATATTTCTATTGAAAATATTAACAAAAAAACAGTTAAATGTTAATTAAAATGATTTACATGACAAAATGTTTCGATATTATGATGATTAGGAGATAGATGCACACGCAAGAGTATTACAACGAAGTTAGATATTTTCAATTGATTTTTGGAGTATCTTAAAGATATCAACAGATAAGAATTTGTGAGTATTGCGAACGGCTATCATTACTCTAAGATTTAATGAGACTGATCAATTTTAGAAAAATTATAATAATATCTGATATTCAGATGAATTGAATAATATAATTAAAATATTATTGAAATAACATATGTTAATTAGTTTATTGCTTTCAATAATTGATTCGAATTAGCATTGATAGTAGAATTTCAGTTATCTACTTCATATAAATCATATTATGATCAAATATATATTTAATGGAGAATAATTGTTTTTTTTTTTATTAAATAAATGAAATAAGTAAAAATAAAATAGAGGAAAAAAAAGATTTCTATCAAGATCAGTTTCATAAACTTTCAAGTTGAATGTTCTTTTCATCACGCGGGTCATACACAAGAAAACAAGAAACAGAACGTTTAAGTACCTTCGTTCTCACTCAAAATAAATAGATTTTTATCAAAATTCTTATCTAAGATAAGTATGTGATATAATAGTGTGAAGACTTCGAATACTACGACATGTTGATAATTTTATATGTTTCTTAACTCGTTCTCTCAAAAAAAAGTCTATTTATGATAACAAACCGTAAATATTTTCTTTTACGCTATTCAGAATATTCGAACAAGCTGTGTCAGAGGTGACTAGTCATGCTTATTTTTTTTTATTCAAATGATTTTTGTTAAAACACTTTTGAAAACATAAAGTTCTTGTACTCAAGCAGACGAGAATTATCAGAAAAAGACATGTAAACGTTCAAAAATACGACTTTAAGGACATTTCATATCGCAGAAATTTTTTTTTGAGCGTTTACATTCGTTTTCAACAATCTCTGTCTGTTTAGATATTATGTAAAATTCATATTTTGTGAAAGATGATCTAAAAGAAGTGTTGAAGTATAGAAATAGAAACTCCAGCCCACCCGCTCCTCCCCTACAGATCATGAAAGACGTTGTTGATATATAATGAAATGTCTTGTTATAATATATAAACTACTTCCTTATTGCATTTCTGAAAGACTAAGGAAAATAAAGACGAAGAAATGTTTCCCATCATAGATAGTATAAAACGATCTTCGTGTGGTTAGCAACAACAATTTCATTGTGTTTCACATTTTAATCCTACAGATATTGTTCTAACAGATTTTTAAAGAAACATTCTTCAGTCGAATATGTTTTGTCGGACAAGAATAAATAGAATTATTTAGAATGAAGTATGATAGAGAATAAGGATTAATGGATGGAGTATTTATTGCCTGTAGTTTTACAAATATCTTTTAAAAATGGCATACTATTAATCGGAAAAAAATCTACCATAATCTGTACACTACTGCTCAAACATACACTTAAAATCTCATGAGGTATTGAATGTATTTGAATAAAAATCGATTTTTGAGTAAAACGAGGGTCTTAAAAAGCTTTCGATATAAAAAGAAAATTCACTGTGTCTATCAAGACAAAGTTTAAAAGAAAAACAAAAGATTGACCATTGGTTGATTAAAACGGAATTTTTCTTGAATAATATAATTGAATGTTTCTTTACTCAGTACTTTCCTCCCCCGATTCGATATTTAAGCTAGTAGGACCTGTTTGTTTTTGCCTGAGTATAAGTATTAGATGAGTAGCACCTTGCGCTGTTCGATAAACACCTTCCATTGGATCCGAAACATTATGAATGTCCAATGGTTGATTGCGCGATAGAACTATACAACAGAAAAAGAAATATATTTCATTGAATCAACGAAACTAAATCTTACCTGTATTTGTTGTAACTGGTTGTTCATTAACATTATTTGTTTGATCAAATTGATTATTATTTTCAATATGACCATTGAGATATTCAGTAGTTGGTAATGGTTGACCTAATCATTAACATTGTATTTAAATCAAAAAAATAAAAGAATATATAATTTGTCTAACATACCTCTTTCTTCATTATCATCAGATGAATCATATTCATCATCACCATCAAAACCACTTCCCAAACTTGCAATTTTATCTAAACAGAAAAAAATATATCAGATTAATTTCAATATTATCGACTAATCACATATTATTATGGTTATTTGTTTATGAGAAACTAATCATGCATACCTTCTTTATCACTACTACCACTGGACTCTGTATCATCTTGCGATTCGACCGGATCCAGAGGATTTATATTATCTTTCAAATAAAAAATACAAAAAAAAACAATTTAAGTATCTTATGTCGAAATATATTATTTAACTTACATATTTCATCATCCACTACAATTTGTGGTGACTCATTTTCATTATTATTCATAACTTGAATATTTATGCCTAAATATTGATATGAATCACTATCTACAAGAAAATATTTTAAAAAAAAGCTACTTACCATTTTGTACAATTGGAATGATGATATTATTATGCACATTAGTATATAATGTAGCATCTTCATTGAGATGATCATCTTCACCATTTATGATAATATATGTAGGTTGAGTATTATTTAAAGTTGCCAGAACTTCTCTATCATGTGGTTGTGTATCTTGAATTGGTAATGGTTCATCGTCAACGACTAGAAATATAAAATTAAAACTTATGAATGAAGTTTTTAAAGTGATTTACCGGTTACAGTTGTAGAGAATGTAAAATTTTCATCGATTGGATCTAGAATAGTGTATTGAATATATTATAGACTGTTCAATATTTTTTTGTTCTAAATCTAAAAGTATTACTTACGATCTGTACGACCTTCTGCTTGTGCATCTCGATTTACATGAAAATAATCTGTAATAAAACATATAAATAAATATTCTAAAAAATAAATCTAATAGAATCTCACGATTAAGGGGTAAATTGAAAAGTCCTAATTGAGATTGATGCACTTGCACAGTTGATCGATTCCTATAATTCATTATTTGGTAAATAATAAGTTTGAATAATAATAATAAATCATAATATTGATAAAAAATAAACAAACTCACATGAATATCATCCAATCTTCTAATGATAATATTGGTATTTCATTATGATCAACTTGATGAAGAATAAGTCGATTGATTTGTTCATCTAAAATATCATTAATTAAAACAAGAATCTATTCATAGAATCACCTATACTTGTCATTGGTTCTAAATCATGAGATGTTTCATTCGAATCAGGTTCTGCACGACTTATATTAACACGAGTTGAATGGCGATTATTCGATGTTCTTGAATGTTCTTCATTTTCTGAATATATAAAAAAATAATCTTTGATGAAGTTTAATATTTAATATTGATTTTTTCACCAGATCCTACTTTAATTTTTGATACCTACCATCAGACGATGAATGTGAATCGCCATCATTATTAGCATTGAAGTTCGACGTATAACGTTGATTCGACATTTTTCTTTATTGTCGAAGTTTGTTAATTGAATTCTATATTATGAGATCGCTTGATCTTGTCCATATTTACATGAACAAGATCTCTTGATTACGTGAAAATGATAATATGTCTACAATAAAACGAAGATCAATCATTTCGTGTTCTAACTTTTCATTATATTTTCGTATTAATATATGAAATTCTTCTAAAAGTTATCATCTCGGTATCAATTCTTTGTTTATCAATAATAAATTATTCTTAATATAATCTTATTTAATTTTTGTTTCCTACAGTCATAAATATCGTTATATATTCTTTCTTTTTCATCATAAAAAACTTCTTTCATCAAGGGTTCTCTTTCCACCAAAATAAAACAAATATAATTTTGTGCAAATACAGAACGAAAAAACTTTCAGGTAGAAAAAAGTCACTTTTTTTTTTAATATAAAAATACAATGTTGGAAAAAAAACAGAGCAGACGCGGGCAATCTACGTCAAAGTAAGTAGAGTTGTTTTTTTTGCATCTCTGACGCGAATGTCGTTTTAGTATATGAATAAAATATGATTAATTTTAACTAAATTATTATAACTATCACACAAAGAGAAGAAGAGTATCATTTTTTGATATATAGAAGATACATAATCCACAGACTTAGATAAAAGAATATTTTGAAAATATGAATAAAAAAATCGTGAACTGTACTATATGAAAATAAAAATTTTTCTGTCATCAATGAATATCTTGAATTAGTGTAAATCTATAGAATTCATATTAGGCTTTTAGTTGCTTTGATTTCAAAAAAAAAAACGTATCGACGCTATTATACATTTGAACCACAATAACTAGACATGAGCAGGATTAGTCGTTTTTGATCTCGATCTCGACAAGCAAAAAATTTGGTTCCGCTCTCAGCAATTAAAAAGTAATTCGATCTCGATAGTGCTCAAAGAAAAATTTGGGTCCGATTCCGAGACCAAGACCATCTTCCTCATATCTAGCTATAACTTATTAAATTAACATTATATGCCAAGTCTTTTTTCTTTCCGTCATAGAAAAAAAAAGAAAAATCTCGAACATGTGGAGTCATATGAATAATATCTAGCGACTAAATTTTTACTGTGACACTCTACTAATAGCTATAAAGTTTCAAATATCAATAGAATTCTACCTACTAATCTATATCTAGAGTTTGTAAATGGTTCAATTTTGTTAGAAAATCATTAGTTCATATTCACTCTATTATCGTTAAGTAAGACTAAAATTATCAATCGAATTAAATAGCATATTTTATATAAAAAGAAATGTTTAGCTGTTTAAAGTATTGTCTGATATTAGAATCAATAGTCGCTTATAGATATGCAGCGAACAGAAATTATTTTTAGAAATTTTTTCATAGTCTAACGTTAGTCGATTCTAACTTGCTTTTGTTCTATTATTACTTTAATATATAATGTCGTTTCTTAATTCTATCTGATTGAATAATCTATAAATCTCTAGTAAACTTATCAATCTATCAAAGTAATTTTTGTGAATCAAACCTTTAGGAGAACTTATTCTAACAATCGTCTATATAAATATATTCTTTCTTTTTTTTATCTAAATAGAGATTTCGTATGTGTCTTATAAATATATGAAATAAATTTTCTATTTTTTTTAATATGTTCAAATGTCTTATTTTGATCGAATTACTAAAATAAGAGAGAGAAATTCTGTAGTATTTATAATTAAAAATAAATAACTACGACTAAAAAATCTTTTTTTTTATTGTTTATATTAAAATAATGAATTATAAAATAGTGGTAATGATTTAAATTTATAAAATAAAATAAAATCATTACCACTATTTCATAATTCATTATTTTAATTTATTGTCATATTTAAATTATTATTTGTCTTAAATTTATTGTTTATAATTTAATCTTAAAAAAGTTTAAAATATTTAATATTCATTCAATAAAATAAACATGAAATTACTTTCAAGGTTAAATATAAAAACTTTTTTTTCCCTCATATGGAATATTAATCATCACAAAAGAGTGTAATTTTATTAAATTTTATAAAACTAATATAACCAAGACATAAAACATCAAAATAAAACTTAGATGTTATCGCTTAGAATGTAAGAGTATATGCTATTGCAGATGAGTATAAATATGCTTATGTGTTTGCTAATTATACATATTAATGGTACACTTTCACTTTTATCGAGACGTTTATTTTTTTTGTTCTTTGCTATTCTGACTCGAACAAAAATATTTCTCTTTCTTTTTTTTTCTTAATATTGACATCATTTCAATGTCAAACTATTTTTCTTCCTTACACATTTTTTTGTTGTTATGTGTATTGACCACTAATAATCAGTCACTGTCTTCTCTCTTATAGCAACTACTTATACGAGAAAAACGATTCAGATAACTATCAATATATAGAGATAACGCCGACATGTAAAAAAATAAACTAACAGCTAGTTAGATAAAATGATGTCAATACATTTTACTTTGTCTTTAATTAAAAAAAGTTAAATTAATTAATTGTTGGAAAGAAAGAAAAAGACTGTTTGATGAAGCGGAAATGCGATTACAATTAAATACTTATAGATTAAAAAAAAGAAACTGAAAACCTTTTAACAACAAGTATCTTCATAAAATGAGCGTTTTTAATCGATCTCAATCATGTCCATACATGAGAGAGATTTTACTGCAAACATTTTCTTCGATATAAATTAATACAAGTCTGTGTAAATAACATGTTCTATCTATAGACCTACAATATCTCGATGCATATTATTTTACAATTCAATTATGTAGAGGACATCTGATAGATACTTACTCTCCTCCGAATCAGATATTCATAGTCACATATTAAAATATATCTTATTGTCTATAAAAAAAAGTGTCTTTTATATACTTTCACACGAGGAAAAATTAACTAACGTCAACACGAGATTTAAAGATACTCAGTTAAAAATTGAATAAATCGAGAATGCAAGTAGCTAGTGATTTATGATTTTCAGTAATTGAACGAGAAGACATGGGAATATCTTTTACATAGAAGCGAATCATTTTGAAATCAATAATTTCCATAAAAAGTTCAAAAAAAAAATTAGATGAGAATTGTCTATCATTTCAATGAAATTTTGATTTAAATATTAATACTAATATAGAATGCTGTTAATTTACTAAGCAAATGTTCTTACTTATTATCAAAATATTTTTCATTTTGTTTTAAATATTTTTTAGAAATCATTAGATTCAAAATAATTTCTCCCGACATATTATCGAAGGAAAAAACATTTGTATGTCTTCTTATTCCATTGTTGAAAACTACAGATTGATAGCTGTTTGTATTCTCAATTTATTCTATTTTTATCCGAGTAACTTTAAATTACGTAATAGCATAACAATTAACCTATATAATCATCATCACATATGCAGACGTACATACTAAACACTTTCAAAAATCGTTATTTCTCAAATATATTTTGCATGTCAAACACATGGTATATGAGTTATCAAAATATGACGTACTCATAATAGAATATTTCGTAAGACAAGTATAATATCTACTTCGACATTTCCATAATACAAATGTTTCTTAATAGTTAATACGTAAAAATAAAATAATGATTGATCTGAAAATAATTATACTTTTAGTAGTTTCATTTTTTTTTGTCTTCTACTTCAATACATTCGATTAAGATAAAATTTCATATATTGTAAAATGAAATTTAAAAACAAAAATATCTTAATCATGATTATTTATTCTTCTATTTTTTAGTTAATTCATTATAATTTAGAATCTATCTAATTACTCAATTAATTATCAAAAATCTCCTATATATACCTGATATCGTATTTTTTGTTGATTAATAATTAAAAAAAAATAAATCTAGGAATTCAAGATATGAAAATTTAGTTTAAATTAATTAATAGATTTTTATTTGAAAGTATCTATCTAAAGAGTAAATACTTTAAATTCATTACAAATGAAAAAGTTTAACACAAAAAAAAAATTGAAAACTATGACTTACAATATGAATAACGTGAAACATACTATTTGAACCAAAAATTTAACAATCTACTAGGCTGTATACATATATATATACCACACATTATTTCTATATCGTCTTTCCTTTCACTAGACTATTTTTTTCTTACTTTGGTTGGGTGATGCGCTTTTCTTCTTTGCATCATGACGCCCTGTTTTTTTTGCCTAATGAGAGATTTTTTCCCAAGAAAGGTAAAAAAAATAACAAGCGGGCTCATTTTTTCAATATGTGCAGACTCCGTACAGACCTCGTCAAATAAAGTTTCTGTCCTCTTTATGAATAATAATACAGAGAATTACGTATTTTTTTAAACAATAACCATGACACCCATTTTGTCCTCATCGCTCTTTGTTTTTCTTTTCTTTCTCTCTCTCTCGCGTACCTCATTCGAAATCTTTTTTTTTTTCTTCATGTAATTTTCTCGGTGGTGTAAACAGGTGAATGAAACATTTTCTTCTTAGTTTCTATATGTATACTACTCTTATTGAAGTTACATTGATCGACGAACTTGTAAATACGTCACACAAAATTAGACGAAGCTTTAAATGTGTCAAAATTACTTAGAATCGACTATGTAATAAATAAATATCAATAAAAAAAATTATAATATTTAATAGTCTATTTTAAAAATATTTATATCACTTCTTTATGTATAAACATAGCAAAAAAAAAATTATTCAAAAAAACAATCAAATATTATTTTTTGTTAATAATTACTTTATATGATCATAAATTTATTCTGACAATGACTATAAAATCTGTAACTAATAAAAGAAATCTCTAAAATACTATACTCTGATTTAAATCAAATATTACTATAGAATTAGTACTGTTCTTACAAAATATTTTATTTTGAAATGTTTTTCAATATGGTTTTTTTTTCTCCTATGAATCTCGGTTTTGCATTTTGGCATAAAATATAAAAATAAAATTGAAGATAAATGAAGCATTTAACTGAAATTGAAAAGTGA